CTACTTACCTACTAGGTTACCTACTTACCTACTAGGTTACCTACTTACCTACTAGGTTACCTACTTACCTACTAGGTTACCTTATTACCTACTAGGTTACCTTATTAGCTACTTAGTACTTGTAGTTAAATGCTATACAGCTAGCCCTGTGACGACACACATTAGTTTTTACTCACAACCTAGCTTGTCCTTATACTCTACTCAGCAATGCAAGACTCTACACTCAGTTTTAAACTTTACGTGCTACTGTCGCTGCGCTGGCTCTTATCCGAACACTTGTGATTTGTTTGGTAATTATTAGCTTAATTCATTTAATAGTGTTTGATTTTCTCGAACATGAAAACACTTGTTTGTATTATCAGATCTCCGATGTCTAATTACGTAATAGACATTACAATGATATGACATAATTACAATGGTGAATAGTTCCAGTGTAGAACACAGTCGTCGTTATATATTACAATCGCACCGCAGTGATCAATGCTGCTCTCTATTACTCACAAGTAGCTTATTGGATGGCTAATCGCTGCTTAGTCATCGCATATACAGATGATAGACGTCACACAGACGCACCCATAAAAATATTATAGTTCATGTAAGATATCCGAACATCGACCTGAACGATTGCACTTGGCGAATCTTATGTGTTTTGATCGGCATTGTTTATTATTAAATTAATTGGGCCACTAATGCCACCACCGCATCTGATGTATGTTAGACTGACGAGAATGTCATAAAATGATGTGCTAAAATATTCCGGTATAATTCTATACGTATAAATGTGGGGGGGGGGGTTTGTAGAAAGACAGCGTAACACGCTGTGTTTAAACAAACGCTGTGTTTCATGCCGGACTTTTTGTCAATGCGGTTCCGCTAAACAGTTGCGCTCGTCGAACCGTATGCATAAACAACCGTTGCCTTGTACTACAGTTGTATGTGTGTGCGTGCGTACGTGCGTGCGTGTGTGTGCGCTCGCGTGTATGTGTGTGCGTGTGTGTGCGTGTGTGTGCGTGTGTGT